CCATTCCTATTAGGTTGGAGGCCATTCCTATTAGGTTGGAGGCCATTACAGGTTCAGTTGTTCATGTTGATGTGCTTTTTCTAAAAGACATCAGGTGCTTCCTGCGAGTCCTCGAGGAACTTTGAATAGCTTCGACGCCTTTGAGCAAGACGGGGCCTTGGACACATTTGGTTTCACTAGCGGATTTCACAAGGTTCTTAATCATGAATCATTATACAACATATATATAACCTTCGGGTGACTGGATCTAGAAACCATACATGGGAATTCACACATTCCCAAGTCATGCGCCTATCCCCTCGATTTATCCGGAGTGGATAAATCCCATGTCATCAGGCAACAAGAACCAAAGACGAAGTAATGCGAAGCATCACCAGATTGCCCACGCAACCCAGTACAAGGCTGCTCTTTAGACGGTGCCACAAAGTCCTATCTCATCCTGCTCCACCTATAGTCACCTAACGCTTAGGTGCCAACCACTATATTCCTTATGTCACTGGACGCCTGAGCTCCTATGTGATTTATATATTCCCAGTATAACCTTCTTTTGAGCCCGTGGCCGGGCGACTAGTTCGCTACTAGGAGACCATCGCTCCTAGCAACAGGACGCAGGATAGCTCATGCACTAATGATTTGTTTCCGAGATTTTTAGGGAAACATAACTATCAACAAGTTTTGTGTTTGTTTTTCATTCGCTTCTTTAGATGCTTTTATTTTTGGACCTTTGAACTTTGAACCTTTCTTTTGTCATTCCTTTCTTGTTCTTTCCGCGTCCGATCACGAGCTGTGGCGCTTCGCACATGCCAAATACCTCAGGCCATCCACGACATGGCCCTCCACGAGGAGGTAGGGCACATGTTGACTTGTTCTTTGTGCACTCCAAACACATATGCATGGGCCAGGTCCTGATTAGTGCTTGAACTCAACTACTTCTCTTTAATCCTTTATGAGAAGGCTTATTGGAACGATTTGGAACGCTTTCTTTGCAGAAGGCTTGGTTGGAGGCCATCGCTACTAGGGTGGAGGCGATTACTACTAGCAACAAGAAACTACTAGTAACAAAGCTCCCCTCAATCAGAGCTCCTTGTAAGCTGCAAGTCTTGTTGGGCCAGGATGCGAAGTACTCACGCGAGCAGCGGATGCGCACAGCGGCCAGCAGAGACACTGAGAAAGCCAGTTTTCAGATCACTCAACAACACGAAGCTATTCAGACATGAAGCGTTCTTCAGAGGGTTTGAACAAATTCATTGACAAAAAGAATCGTTGAAATTGAAAGGTGACGAACATGAAATCAATCAAGGGGCTCCTGGCCTTACTACTAGGAACAAGGACGCTACTAGGAGCAGTCTTCTGGTGGATTCTTGAGGCTACGCGTGCAACAAGAGCCATTCGGCCACGTCACATCCACAGTTTCTGTGAGCTCTGAAGGGTGTGCCATGGTGACCGCCTACCTTTTTGCTTAGACAGATTAGAAAAGCTCTTTTGACAATTGTGTTCATATGGTGTTTGTTCAACGAAGTGAACAACCTGTTGAACACAGCGAAACAAAACCATTTTTCTTACAAAACCATATGTTCTGCACAAAAGAATGTGCTTTTTGAAAACGAAGCAGCCACGGCTGCTACAGCGCCCAAGGTGTCGAAACTTTGCCTCGCTGCATCGCGAGCTGAACGAACTCCGGGACAAGCTTGAGGCGAAACACGTGGCGAAACGTGTTGAGGAAAGAAAAGAACTTGAACAAGAGAAACGCATTGAAGTTGAAACATGTTGAAGCGTCGGGTAAACAACTCTTTCTTGGGTAATGAAAGAACAGTGAAGTTTTCTGTGCAACACAGTGTTCAGTGGGGAGGAACAAGGACGCTACTAGGGGCTCCTGGCATCGCTACCAGGTGGAGCCTGAGAAGACTCGAGAAGCACTGCAATCGCTGGTTCCCCAGATTTCAGCCTGGCGACACCCTTCGCGAAGTGTCACAGCTTAAGACTGATGAAGGGAGCACTGGGTTGGTACGCCTTGTTGAGGCTTCGCAAGGAACTTAACAGTGGGAACGATCATTTGCTTTGATGGGTCCTCTGTGTTTGTTTTCAAAGCAACCATGGGATGTCCAGGACATCCGCTTGGAAGTACTACGCGAAGCACCTTGAACAGGTAGGGAACGTTGAAATC